GTAAAAAATAACGGGTTTTTATCTAGGACTGCTATCGACAAAGTGGTTAGAAAATAGCTTGGAACCAGCTCCAGAGGGAGGTGCGGCCGCACCCTCCGCCTCCCCTGGATCTGCCACTGGTCACGTATCTCTGAATGAGCACAATGAAAAAGCACAATGAAAAAGACGATTTTCTATGGCAATCGATAGCCCATGAAATTTGCCACAAGAAGCGTTCTTAGAGTTTCTCAGTCAGATGCTTCCTTAATTTTTCGCGAGTGTTCTTCTGATGTCCACTGGCGTGGACAACCGGGGGTTAAGGGTAAAATGGGTCTTCAGCAGAAAATTCTCAAAGATTGCCCTATATATGAGCAATGAAGGGCTCTTCAAGAACCGGATATGGCGCACTATACCTAACTTTTGACGGGCTATCACATGAATATGGTCTCGTTCGAAAAGCGATTGGACACCTCAAGGGGTTCCCTTGTGATAGTTAAAAAGGGCTTTAAACTTGGGAAGATTTGGACGTCTAGTGACCGTCGATAGAAAGAAAATAATGCTCCACTGCTAATTATGTGCAGCAAATTTGAAGCAATTTATGTTGCAGTTGAGGTATCTGATCTTTTGATTTTCGAAAAAAACAGACCCCTTGTTATCATTTTCAGATTCAGAAATTCTACTGAGACCAGAAAAAGTTACTTAAAATTTAAACTTACCTAGTCATCTCGACATCATTTTGTGCCAGTCGAAGTGTTTCTTCCCACTGGAGTACTTCTATTCTCAACGTTTTCACTTCTTCTCGTAAAGAATCAATCGTCTTCTGAAGTTCATCCACCTCTTTCTTCAATTGTTCATAATGTTCTTCTGCTTGTTTCTTTGCTGCCTCGAGTTCTGCCTTACTCGCGTTCAATTTAGTGAGAAAATCATATAGTTCTTTTTCCTTTCCTTGTTTCAACTGAATGATCATATTAATGTGTCGTATTTTCTCTTCAATTCGCTTCACTTCCTCCTCAATCTTCATTTTTGATCTTTTCAATTCCTGCTGTTTCTTCTTCAATTCGGCTATTTTGTCGTCGAGTTTGTTCATTTCTTTGTTCAGTTGTTTAATTTCTTCTTTGATATTCTCAACCACATCTCTGAGTGCTTCCAGTTCAGTTTGTAGACGTTCGAGTTGCTGTTCAAGTGCACGGAGTTCAGCATCAATAGCCGTTATCTTTTGTTCGATTTCTTGTTTATTTGTTTCACTTTGACGAAGTTCTTCCGCTAGTTCTTTTCGACGATCTTCTAGTCGCCGTTTTTCCTCTACTGCAGCTTCGATTTGACGGCGAACTGTTTCCACTTGTGCTTCAGCTGCTTCGAGTTTCTTTTGTTCCCGAACTAGAAGTATTTCAACTTGATTGCGTTCTGCAGTCAATGTTGCTTCTTCTTCCCGCAGACGATTGAGTTCTTCATTTGCTCGTGCGATAACTTCGTTTAGTTGTGTTAATTGACCATTGAGTTGAGAAAGTTCGTCTTCTAATTGTCGTTGTCTATGACGAATCTGAGCCAATCGTCTATCCAAATCATCTATTTCTTGTTCTTTTACACGACTTATTTCTTGAAAATTCTGCACTTCTTTCTCCACCTCTTGCAGTCGATGACGATCTTGTTCTTCATGACCAAATGCACTAGTAGTAGACTGTTGATAGTTGCTTGCCATAGGTGATTTCGATAAATAAAAAAGAAAGAACGAACAAACTAGACATCTCCTTTATATAACATAAAGCACCACAGTTGGAAAATGTGTCTGTTGTTTTTCGACGTTAGACGTAATTACCTTCTTACAAAAGCAAACCGTAAGAATGCAATGTGGTCTTTAAGAGAGATGGCTGGTTTTTTCCTGCCTGGCAGAGGGGAGAAAGAATGAGATTGCAACTGATTCAGGTAAAAAAAAACAAAAAAGAATGAGATTGATTGTGGAAGAAACCCTCACTTTTTGTTCCGTTCTTCTTCATAAGCATACATGCACCTTTATTTGCAAAGTTATAGAATTTACAAGAAAAGCCCTAAATATTCATTGTCAACTCAAACCTACAGAAGTAAGAAGAAATTAGTTTAGGGCTTTTCTTGTAAATTCTATAACTTTGTAAAGAAAGGTCATGTAGGGCTGGGAGAGGTCTTATTTTGATCAGAAATGTGCGGGCTACAATTATGGTTCATTAAGAAAAGTTTTAGTTATTTTTCAGAGTTTCTGAAAAATTCGTTTTCCAGAAAACGGGGTCTTCGAAGCCCTAAGAGCAGCTCTCGTATTCATATTTGGAATCAGCATCATCGATAACCTATAACCCACTAGGTTTCGTTAATAAAGCGAGGGGGCACTTAAAAAACGTTCCCTCATTGGTATGATTTCATCTTCAATGGATATATATAATTTTTATTAGTGCTCGTGATCTTCCGACACTATAACTCAAATAAGTCAAGATAAAACTTTAAAAAAAAGCCATATGCAAAAAAGTAATGGTGTGAGAAACATTCCATATGGTTTCGAATGTGTGTAAAATTTTAAGTATTAATAATATGTCAGTAAATTAAGAAAAAACAAAGCGTTTTAAGTCTTGTTGATCCGGTGAAAAATGAAATACGCTAGTGAGTATTCAAATTCAATTATTTTGTAAAAATCGAATGTATTTCGACACGATCTATTCTTACTTATACAGCAGAGTTATATTAAACCACTATAATGTTTCCAGTCGTTGTAACTAAAACTTAAATCTTTTTCTCTTAGGTATCATATATGCGACTTTTGTTTTACTCGTCTTCTTTGTGTTTGGGACGTATCAGGCTTCATTAGACTTCAAACGTAATGTGGTAAGTCTAAAATTTTCTTCAAAGAATGAGATTGCAACTGATTCAGGTAAAAAAAAACAAAAAAGAATGAGATTGATTGTGGAAGAAACCCTCACTTTTTGTTCCGTTCTTCTTCATAAGCATACATGACACACATGGTAAACAAGCTGCATTATCCCATTTATAGGACAAGATTCAGTGTCAGTCTGTAGTTTTTCGTTGCACACCACAATGACTTCCCGATCCACTGTACAAGCATATCTTCCTGTGACCGATTCAAGTCAAGCTATTGATCGTACAAAATTGGCTTCGATACGATCGAGTCATGCCGCACTCACACAAAACATGGATGCAACAACTCGACTAAGCGACAACACACTTCGAAGTCTTGCAGACCGAATGCAACTATCCGATGATCCAATTAGTCTTGAATATCTTAGACGATGTGTGCAGAATCCATCGGAAGATGGTGCTTGTGCAGATTTAGTTGCAAGATACAACGATCTCCTCTTTGACAGTAGTCAGCAGTCAAGCCGTCGAAGACCTCCACCACCTGTTGTTCTACCACAAACACCTAGTATCCAGCAGCCGCCACCACCAGTGACCACAGCGGTAGAAGATGTCGAGTCACTCACATGTATAATACGAGTGAAACGAAAAGTCACAGACACTGTTCTCTTTATTCGACAATTTCTCTTTCAACAACCGACCAATTTAAATGCCAGGTAATTTACTACTGAGTTAAGGTGCCCTTAAAAAGCATTCAAAAGGTCTACAACACGGTTTTCAAGCAGAAATCCTGTAAAAACCCCTCTGGAAAACCATTCAGGAGTTCGAAATAATCACCATCGTCTTCGCCATCATCGATAAACCCAAAATCAGTCTCTCGAGGACTTCAAAAGGTTTTGGTTAGAAAACCCCTAGGAAACCTTCAAAGACCATCTGAAGATTCTTGAAAATTCGTGAAAGTGTTACCACCGGATTCCCCATAGCAGATTACCACCAGTGTCACTATTCCACGATTCTGGAATTTCCATAGAGTTCTGACGTGAGAATATTTTTTCCTCACACATCTATTCCACTCACAAAAGTATAATATCTCCGAGGAGAAAAATCAGAATTCTAGAATTAACAAAACTTTAGAATAGCGGGATGTGGGTGTGGGTGTGGGATGTGGGTGTGAGAACAGACTCATCTTCACCAACACCCATCTATACCCAACTCTACAACCACACTCACTTCCTCAGTCGAATACACACACACTTAGTATTACTGCTGTCTCAAAATGCTGGTTTTTCCGTTTATTTCAAAGTTTAGTCGGTCCAGGGTTCCGATTATTTGAAATTTCGGATTATTCGTATTATTCCGGAACTTCGGTTCTTCCAAGAATTCTACTAACTGCGGCTATTCTAAACGTTTGTTAATTCTAGAATTCTGATTTTTCTCCTCGGAGATAGTATACTTTTGTGAGTGGAATAGATGTGTGAGGAAAAAATATTCTCAGAATTCTATGGAAATTCCAGAATCTTGGAATAGTGACAGGACTCGAGCCTGGGGCAAAAACCCGGGCTGAGGTTCGAAACAGCGAAAACTGCGTGGCTATAAGCAGTTTCTAATGCTGATTACGAATATGAAAACCGCAAGTCTGTACGACGCATCCGTAAAAAGTTATCGGCTTTGTCTTCGTCGCTTTGAAAACCTTGTTCAGGTTCGAGGTTTTTGACCTTTTTCACCTCGTAAACGAGTTGAGAAAAAGACCACGTCTACATATTCGTGATGAGCGTCATAAACTTCATCGAATGAGGTATAAAAATACGAAACTAAAATCTGCTCGAATCCAGAAGTAAGGGCACCTTACATCCGTGTATTAGATAACCACTCTGCTGTTTTCTATACAGTGCTCGAAATCACAACCTGCCTGCTGTTACTCTGAACCGCAACACACCACTGACTCGAGGGTGTATCCTAGATCTATTTATCAGACAAGAACTACTCGAGCGAGGTGTCCTAGATTTCGGACGACAAATGACACGTGTACCCATTGCAGAACCAATACAAATTGAAGATGAATTTGATGCATGGCATTTTGATCGTTTGAGAGGTATTTTGGATCTTCTCCTCGTACCTGCTGCATCTACCACTGTCTTCCCACTCAAATGGAAATTGAATGAGAATGCACGAATCTTCTACAAACTCGAAACAGATGAACAACCACCACCCTCAACTTCCACGGAAGAAGAAGCCACTTCTGAACATCGCAATGTCGATCGACCTAGTACAGCGTCGTTAGAACAGTTTGTCAAAGATGTATGTGAGAAGTTGAATAATGGACAAGCGGAAAGGTGGCTGGAGCTTTTGAGAAACGAAGATATTCGAACCTATACTCATTTGGCCAATTTGAAACACTCGGAATGGAATGATATTAAGAGTATACCGGTGAATGCTCGAAAGGATCTGAAGAACTTTGTCAATTTGGAAAAACAAATGGCTGCTGGGAAGAAGAAAAAAGAAAGGACTGATGGTAAGTAGAATAGTTACGATTTAGATGTAAATTTCTGTTATGAAATGAAAGACTATGCAACAGAAGGAATTGCTAAGTTTGAGGCCACCTCGACGAAAAAGGTTGTGCAGAAACATTGAATTATTCCCATTGTTGAATTTGAAAGCAAATGCAGAAAATCACATGCAACTTTTGCACAGCAATTCTATTTCGCCTTGCTGAGCTAAAGTCTCCGAGGGTTTTGGTTTGAGCGAAGCTCGTCTATCATGTCCGAGTGATAAAGCCAAAAAGGTTCGAAGATATTAAAACGCTTTTTGAGTAGTGCCTTTCAAAGGTATTAGATTATAGGGTCGAAATCAATTTGGCCAAAAATTTTCTTTTCGCTAGTGTTTAGTTCTTAAGTAACCAAATCTAGACTAGCTCTAGTAGACACTTTTGTCTTCTTTTGTGAGCAGCGAACACTTTGTATACACCTCTAGTACAGAAGTACAGTATAGCGTTTGTGTACAGAACCCACACTTTTGTAAAGATTTATATATTCTCAACCTTTGTGGAGGCTTCGAAATTGGAAATCAGCGAAAAGAAAATTTTCGACAAATTACTTTCGACCATATTAACGGGAATCTGTTTCAGGAGTATTATCAAACGTCATATTTATTGTTCGATAAAAAAAAGAATTTGAAAGCAATGTAACAAGTACTGAGAGCGAAGAATTAAAAACTGAAACTCATTTAGTACTTTGGATTATTCATTCTTTATTTTTTATTCTCATTCCTTTTGTTTTTTTAGGGTAAAAAGTTTTCTAATCCGAGAAGGGAGTTTCCCTGTTATACTAAGAAAAAGTCAAACATGAACTCTTTTTGACAAAAACATCATTCAAAAAAGCAACAAAACAGAAGAGGCATTCTATTCTAGGAAAGGTCTTGTACTGTACAAGGGAAAGAGCTAAGTTCTCGAAAGCCGCTTTTTATTGATAGGATCTTCTATTTTAGGAGGCTTTCATGCATCAGAGTTATTTTCCTTTGGACTTCGAGTTCACAGGATGCAAATATTTAGGATCTATACTTTGAGCAGTATTATGTATTAACACCACGTTTATTCTCAAAACGAGAGACGGAAAACCTCTTGTTATGCTGAAAAACAGTTTGTATCAAAATAAGATTGAGTAGACATCAGCCTGTCATTTGAACAACAAATAATGACCTTGAAGTGAGGACTGTTCCTATCGGAATTGATTTCCTTTTCTCTCCTCGCAGCGACGTTAAACTCTATTAACTCTAATGATTTAGATTCCATTTTCGAATGAATGGTACCTGTCTAGAAATTCTCTTTATGAAACTTGCCCATAGTGTCTTCACTAAATCCGGTTTAGTGTTCAGTCGGTAAAAAGAATTTCTATGATTCCTCTTTTTGTTTCTTGCAGAAAAACCCTCCGAGTCGGAATACATAGCATGCCTACATCAAATCAAACTCTACTTTCACTATGTACTCGAAGATCGTTTTCTTGCTGCAAATGTACACATGCCACCGAAAATAGATCACCGATGTGCAGTAAAGGCCTTTGAAGAAATGAGAGAAAATGGCTTTGCCGATGATGGCCTCTTTGATCGAATGAAAAAATTCTTCCTGCCCCTTACACTGATCGAACAAGATCTTCGAATCTCTGATACTCAATGGTCAGAATTGGCAGCAAAATATCACGCGGAAAATTTTCAACTCGAAAACGATAGAACAAGTGTCATACGTGATCTAGCGGTGGTGGAAGATCACTATTACAATCTCGATGAATTAATGACTCAAGCTGCAGCTACGACAACGACCAGAACAACCACTTTCGATAGGCAGATTAGTGCATATCGAAAAGAACGAGAAGATCTGGAACCAAGACGAAGCGACCTTCGTACGCGTTTGGAACAAATCGATGATATGATAAAGAATATAAACATGGCTTTAACTGGTCGAACGCATACTACGAATGACAAAAAACTACTCAAACCCAATCGCGGCTTCATTATGTATGGTCCTCCTGGTAAGTAAAGCATCTATTACAAACTACTGAGACATCCAGACATCTTTTGATACCTCATGTCTAGGTACGGGAAAATCTGACATAATGACCAATTTATCCAAACGAATGGGCATCAGCATGGTAGTACAAGAGCTGGCGGCTGGAGATCTAAATCGATCTCTGGTTGGTCAATCGGAGAGAATCATCAATGACATTTGTATGCGTTGTCATCTTCTACCTCATCTCATGTGTTGTGTATGTATCGATGAAATCGATTCACTAGCCCCTAAACGAACAGGCGAAGCAAGAGAAGGAGATATAGCCAAATTGAGTGTTCTCCTATCTGTAATCGATGGTATCAAAGATGTACCCAATTTGATGATATTTTGTGCTACTAATCGTATGCATATGATGGATGACGCATTTTTACGACGTATGCAGGGCAAATTTTTTGTTGGTAGACCGTCGAGTCAAGCACGAAAGGCTATCTTATCTGGTATCAAATCGTGGCATATGAAACCGGCTTTATTGGAAAACCTGACAATGGCTACGACCAATTTCAGTGGTGCTGCACTTAAGTAAGAAGAGCAGCAAAAAATGGTTATCCGTTAGCTGGAGGTCTAATTGCACAGATACAGTACTCGTCAAAAGTCCCTGGACATGTCAAAATCCAGGTAATGTTGATCCGCTATCCACGAAATTTTTACCAGAGATAGAGAGTGAAAAACTGTGATCGCAGGTACTAATCCGAGCTCGATTGACTGAAGCAGAAATTGAGTTCAAAACCAAACACTACTTATCCCGAGAGAAGAACACTGGATTCGGATGTTATTGGATTTGCGGCTTTTTTAAAGATTTTTTTAAAGACTTCTTTGGATTTTTACAGATTCATTCATAGAACGATTTCATTGAACGTTTTTCTCGATTTCGATACAAAAAATTTTAAAAAAATAGAAAAATTTAAAGAAGTATAAATCTTTAAAAAAGTCACAAACCCAATAACATCCGAATCCGGCGTTCTCCTCTCGGGATAAGTAGTGTTTGGTTTTGAACTCAATTTCTACCCAAGGTGAGAAATCTTGCATATGATCATAACTGATCTTAGTCTCGGATCTTACATGATCTTATCCAATGTGATATGAATCAGATGAAAATCGTCGTCTCCGATCGTCGTACAAGACTCTTGCTACAAGTTTCTACAAACGATTGCACAAGATTATGGCAGATACTCGGATCATGTACGTATCTTGCCATAAGATTTCCATAAGATTTGGATAAGATTATCGGAGACTACGATTTTCCGTAAGATTTTTCATCTGATCGTGCACGATCATGCAAGATTGCAAGATCTTACCGTACGATCTTTGACCTGGATACTTCAGTCAATCGAGCTCGGATTAGTACCTGCGATCACAGTTTTTCAAGCTCTATCTCTGGTAAAAATTTCGTGGATAGCGGATCAACATTACCTGGATTTTGACATGTCCAGGGACTTTTGACGAGTACTATAGTTCTGTAAGGATGTTTCTTGAAACCACAGTATGGAAATTCGAAAACGGAGCTTGGATCAGAATCTTTAGTAGATGACATAATCAAAATTTAAAATACATGTTTTTCAAGTTACTCAACTTAAATCTTAGAAGCTAGAAACTTTTTCTACGTGTTAATCTTTTACTGAAGTTTTTAATCTGGGGAGAAAAGTTGTTGCCTAATTCAAATTTTTTCCCCCACTTATTATCTCGTCTCACTGTAGTTCTGAAGGATGGCTTTTCGTAGTACCTGCACATCTGAGTTTATAACGAAGCGGAGGATGAAGGAGCACCAAGACGTTTATAGAACCAAGCTCTTTGGGTTTGCTTATAACAAACCTAATCAAACATTGGTTTTTCTTCTCTGCAGTGCACTTCGATCTATGATCACCGTACATTGTGCTGATCGTACACGTCAACAAGCAGGCTATCAAATAGACTATCGAACAGCCCTCGAATTGGCCAATGACACAGCTCAACAATATCGTATCTTCATCGGTTCAGAAACACTACCCACTCTACTCCTACGTAGCTTAGACAATGACTCCTCTACTGCGGTACAACTGGGTACATTACCCAATAAAAAAGATTCCAACTATACGGGTCGTATCATCGTCAATCTGGCTGCCAGACGCATCGATGTGGAAGCGGAACACTTCCATCCATCCTCGGGTGAACGTGAGAAAATTGTCTACCAGGAATCACTACTGGACGGTGAAACAGATTTACAAAGCCTTCTCGAACGTTTGACCATCTATGGTAAATCTCGCAATGTCCAACTACTCCAACTAGTCGATTTGAGTCTTCTCTCCTCCGAAAGTGCCTATGATGAAAAACGAAAATTCGAAATTCTCACAGAACGAGTGGATGAATCTCAGAGTTACCGTCGTTCGATGATTGTTTATGATCTTGATTCTCTGGTGGGAGTGAACAAAAGTGAAGGACAATCAGCAACGGGTAATTCAACGAATATTTCATTGAATAATCAAAGTGTATACACTTTTGTCGGAGATCGATTTCGAAAGGCTCATGTAGACAGAGCGCAGGCGGACGAAGAACAAGCGCGAGTGAAAGAAAATTGGGCTGTCGTCATTGGACGGGATCCTTTCCTACTGAGACAATTTTGTGATAGTGTACAATATACTCGTACACCAGAAGAACTTGATCAAGAAGACGAAGAACGCCGTCGAGCAGAAGAAAAAATACTCTGCATCAAATGCAATGATTATTATCTCGAACAAGATAATAAAATGGGTGTATGTGTGCACCATGATGGTTTTGTTTACGATAATAGTTCTAACACATTAGCTAAATACACACAATGCGCAGCAACAGAACAACTGTTGCATGAAGAAGCGATGGCCATTGCTACGAACGATCAACCGGAGCGAGAGCGTCTGGAGCGTTTAAAGACTCGATTTAAGTTTATCTGCTGTAATATGACAGTAACCGCCACAGGGAGTGTAGGTGGATGTAAGAAGGGGCGTCATGGATTCGAGGCAAATGCATCAGTGACACTGGAAGAATGGGAACAAGTTTGTGATGAAAACCGTTTATATCGACTGAAACGTGCCACAATGTTAGATAAGCGAGTGGCAAACACTCTGGCTGGACGAGCACCACTCAACTAGTAGAACTTTTCATCATTTTTGAATATGCAGCAGACTGTAATACACAAAGACCGTCCATGTACACATACAAGACAGAACCGAACAAATTGCACTTTTGCACAAAAGTGCAAAAGTAAACTTTATAGTGCTGCCATAACTACTTATTAGTTTTTGTTTTTCTCTTGGGCTAGTAGATTATTCATGAGTTTTGAATATGCAGCACAATTGCACAATCTCAATCGATGTGCATCATATATGACAGACTGTCAAAGTTTACTTTTGCACTTGTGCAAAAGTGAAATTTGTTCGGTTCTTTCTTGTATGTGTACATGGACTGTCTTTGTGTGTTACAGTCTGCTGCATATTCAAAACTCATGAATAATCTACTAGCCCAAGAGAAAAACAAAAACTAATTGTATTTCTTTTTGTGATTTTGATAAGCCATGACTTATTACTCTTTTGTATTTTTTTCAACGGAAGTTCAATGTAAACGAGTGATGATGATCGGATACGCATATTTCCGCTTAAGCGCGTTTCTCAAAAAAACTTAAGTTAAACATAGGTCTGCAGAAATAACCACTCATATTTTAATAGAGGAGGGGGCCCGATTTTCCTTGATTTTGGCTTACTGCTTTTTCGACTTAATTTTGATCAGATTTTGTAGAGAAAACGATTTTACATGTCTTTAAGTGCATATGTACCATAATAACCTTATAGAGACTTTTTAAATTAACTTTTCTGAAGAGGTGCATAAAGCATATCGGTGCTTAACAAAAACGATTCTTCTCAAAATCTAATATGAAGTTATGGTAAAGTGATATAGAAAAATAGCTAATGAAAAACTGAACAAACTAGTACATGGACCACATACCGGGGAGCCAGGCGAACATATACGAAAATATTCTTTTCCAGAATCTAACGGTTGGGGTCAACACATATATATGTGATCTATCATTTTCTAAAAACGCACTTCTCAAAGTTTTACAGAGCCTCAGAAAAGGGCATGCCAAGGCTTAAGCCCATAGAGTCACATAAACAGAGAAAGTCACTCCGCTTGGCAATGTAAAACAATATGCACAAGCAAACAAACATTTTTAGGCTTTAGTCTTGTTTTTTCATATATTCTTAAAAAATAATAGAGATTTTCATCCCAGTTTTGTACAGTTTTTGGCTCTCGAAATCTCTAACTGATAACAAGGAACCGGATTACTGTACACTTCGTTGACTTGACTTTACGACTTCAAATAAATGCACAACTTCTTTTCTCTTCTTGCCTTCTTTGGCTATGCCTGAAATTTTGAAAAACAAGATTTCTTGTTATACACTTTATTTCTTAATTTCATAATTTTTATTTAAATAAGAAGAAAATCATGTTTCTATTTGAGTAACTTTAAATGACTTCTTTTTTAATTACCGCAAACGAA